CCCCCCCCCCCCCCCCCCCCCCCCCCCCCCACACACACACACACACTGTCGCACACAGTCCGCATCGCATCACGACCGCACGGCAAAGCCATCCGAACTCAAGGATTCCTCCACGCTAGTTTGAGCATAAAAGTCACCGATGGGAGTGGATCTCCCCTCTTCAAGGTTATCTTCTCCTTTAGCCTGCTTTCATCCGGATTTATCTGACGAACCTTTATTGGCGAGCGGGCTCGGAATGACTCTGGAAGCGCTTATTGATTTATGATGAAGATTTCTGACTGGTTTTTTGTCTCACTGCGCTCTGCTGCATCAATCTTTCAGTTGGATTAATGAAAGTCGAGCTACTCCATGTATGGGGACGGCTAGGATGAGGGCTTGGCGAAGGCGGAAACTACACGCTTTTCCTCTTTATTTATTTTTATTTATTTTATTTTAAAACAGCATAGCTCTATGCTAAGAGTTCATTGTCATTGATTGCTGGAGTCTGAGCCACCAAAGTTTTTTTTTTTTCTTCCTTCAAATTACTGCAAGAAGCATGGGATTGGTGTTCCCACTNAAACAGCATAGCTCTATGCTAAGAGTTCATTGTCATTGATTGCTGGAGTCTGAGCCACCAAAGTTTTTTTTTTTTCTTCCTTCAAATTACTGCAAGAAGCATGGGATTGGTGTTCCCACTTGTGAGAGGCTCGTGCGAACGCCGTTCCCGCTTCCTTACTTCGCTGGTTGCGATGCTTTCCCGCAACTCGACGTTCAACTCGCTTGAAGGAAATCTTGCGCCCAATTGTCGAAAGCCAACACACATTTTGCCGTGGAAGTGGCCCACTTTTACTGTTCTCACACTTCCACAGACTGACTCTGATTGCGGGTCGAGCCCCTTCTCTCTCTGTCGTCTGGAGCAGACCCCGAGTGGGCATTCTGGTCGTTGGTGGGCTACACACGCTAACATTCAGAAAATCCAAGAGTCCTAAGGTTCTCTAATAAAATTTTTAAAATTAATTTTGGAGACCTGACTTGAATTAACTACTCTACCCCTTCCTTGGCCACACCACGCCTCATTCGAAAAACTTACCATTAATACCTATCATACATTGTGAAGAGAAAAGTCGTACCGATGTGGAGGCACGGTGACTGACCAACATAAATGTGGTCGGACCCCACTTAAACTCCCCCCCCCCTCCCCTGGCCCCCCCCCCCCCCCCCCCCCCCCCTGATGATTCCAAGAAAAGGATGAATTTAACCTACTCCAGGGAAAGGGTTAATCTCTTAAACCTCTGAGTGTCAAAGAGATGTCATCAGAGAAATGACTTGAACCAATAAAATTTGAGAACTCGGACCTATTCTTCCTCATGAAGAAGATTACGTCGTGATCAGAAAACTTTGCTTCCAATCATTCAGAACGACGTTGTATCAGGAACATTGATAGCGTCTGATGAGTGGGCAGTATACGCCACTTTGAACCAGTATGGATATCAGCACCAAACTGTGAACTACCAGACAAACTTTGTTGATCCCGTCACAGGTGCCAATCCTCAAACTATTGCATGCCTGTGGTGGGGTTAAAAATGAGGAAAATGCATGGCACCAACCTGGACATGCTTTCACGACATCTACGGCAAATTTGGTGGTGCTTAATGAACCAAGGCACCAATACTTCCTTGAGCTTATTGAAAGACATTCGCCGAGTGTTTAATTGAGGGTTGGAATTGTATCATCATGCATTTACAAGTTCGTCAGGTTCTCTGTGTCACAATACATTGAAGGGTTATGTCTATGTGTTATGTGTAGAGCACCAAGAACCCAACACCAATATATACAGTATAGCGTGTAGACCACCGGCCTCAATGACCAGAATGTCTTCGAGGGTTGATCCTGCTCGTTCGCAGAATTTTTGTGTTGAGATGGATGAAAATTCAAATTCGAGATTTGATGCTATGAGACTCGATTCTACATGCGTATTTTCGTTTTAAAGAGTTTACTGGGAGAGGAATTGATAGGCTTCACCTCAATTTTCCCACTCCAAATTCCCATTTCAAGTCCTGCCCTGATAACCACGATTGCTGTAAGTG